CTTGTTAAATCCTCAATATTTCCTCCTAAAACTGTTATCACCTTCTTATTATGAGCAAGCATAATCCACATGGATTTTCTTCAGATCCTTTTATCTGCCAAAAACTCTACACATCACCACAAAGCAGTATTTTCCATTTCAGATTTCATCACTGTCACCTCAGTCCTATACCATGCTTGTCAGTCAGAGGTGGAACAATTTAAAAACAACCAACCAAAAAACCCAAAAGAAATAAAAAAAAACATCAAAACCCGTACCACCGCTTTTATCCATCTCTTGCCAAATGAGGCACATAACCAATGAAGACACCTTTGTAAAGTGATGAGTAACTTTATTTCCAAACAGCCCCTAAATTTTATGCGCTGAGTCATGTTCTTAATTGTTTGAGTGTCTGCCTGAAGTACAAATATAAATCACGTTTTACTTACACTATGTAATATACCAGCATTATCTCAGGTTTTGGTATGGTAGTGAAGAGGATACTCTACAGAGAAAGTCAGGCACTCTGTACCTCTCACAAAAATTGCTTGTTCAGGCTACTGCAGTCAAAAGCACAGGCTAAAAATTTATCAAAACTGTTTTTAGGAAGCTACAAACACTTCTATTAGGCTATTACAAGAAATAAATAGCCACGATGGCTACTGTTTGGCCAGAGATTATTCAGCTTCTGGCTGTATTAATACCCCTAAAGCAAAGATAGGTATTTTTTCCAAACTGCTAAACATTTTGATCATTTCCTATGTCAGTGCCTCCTTTTCCCTTTGTAGTCAGGCTCTTTCAGAGGAGGTACTGCTTGTTGCTTCATGAAGTGATTTATAATGGATTATCTCAGCATAATACTCCAAGTTATGATACTTCCCGGTCCAATGCTTATCTGGACTTTGTGGCTCCCACTGCCTAACACTTCACACAGTCAAGACTACATTCTGTTTTGTTGAACACATTTTTGGTTTTGTTGAACATGTTTGGTTGTTCGGTGTTGTTTTTTTTTTTTTGTTTGCTTGTTTGTTTTATTGATACTGTTTGGTTGTGGATTTTTTGTTTGTTTTTTTTTGTTTGTTTGTTTTATTGTTTTTTTTTTTTTAATATATTTGATAGCCAGGTACTTGCTTAATGATTCTGCTTTTCCTGAAGAAACTGTCCTACTTCATCTTTCTGTTACTAATGCTACCTACAGAAGTTCACAGAATCATGGAAGGGACCTTCAAGATCATGTGGTTCCAACCTCAGTGCCATGGGCCAGGGCACCTTCCGCTAGACCTGGTTATATATGCCTTTCACTAAAAAGGGAAAAATCCATCAATATTAACATGCCAAACCAGCAACAAAACCCTGGAAGGCATTGGAAGGCTGCTCTAAGGTCTCCCCAGAACTTTCTCTTCTCCAAGGTGAACAAGCCCGACTCTCTCAGCCTGTCACTTTTGCTGATCAAAATTTTAGAAGGCATCTGGTAGCTCTTGTGATATCCTGACTAGAAACAGTAGTTACGGTTGTTTGAAAAGGAGCTATTAATATCATCATTATTAGGTCTCTTCTCATCCATACAGTTCAGAGGAAATTTTTCATTTGCTTTTACAGTTGTAAGTCTGCAAAGGCTGTGTATTCCTTTATTAACACTATCATCGAGTTACAGGCATCTGCCCACAAGCAGATCTACTCCTTAGGGGAACATGAACTACTCAAATTTATTTGCCCAGGCAGCTGCAGTGACCACTCTCAAAATCTGACTAGCTACACCCCAAAAAATAATATAAAGAATATAAAAAAGTACATAGAAGTTTTTTTTTTTCTTCTTTTGAAAGACGGCTGATAGATTCCATGTTGCAATACCAAGAGACTGTGGAAACTGAAGGTGGGTTTAGCTCGAGTGTAGTGCATTAGAAGTAACTTTGCAAGTTTATTAACTGTAAGAAAGAACTTCCCTGGACCAACAGACATTTTGCCATCAAGATGGCAAAGAGTGGGCAAAAAATTAAATACTAAGAAGTGTCAGCATTTTAAACAAATTGATTTTTCAACCACTTTGCAATTGAAAAACGTGTCTCAAATCTTTCATTGTTACCTGGATTACTTCCACAGTCACATTCAAAGGGGTATCTGAGCTAAGCTAAAACCAGTGCATATTTGAAGAAAATATCCATACATTCTAATACTAAAAATACTCAATTTTTATACTATTTATTGTAGTTGTCTATACAGAAAAGGACATGAATGGATTTTTTCCTGAAAATCTGTATCTGCTCCAATTGCCAGTATCCTTAATGTCACAGAAGAGAATTTTGCAATCCATAAATATGACTCATGGTCACATACCAGTTTTGTTTATTGAAGTCAGATAAAACCAGAACCTGGACTGATTTCAGTAACTTTACCCTGAACTAAATCAGAATTCTATGATTATCACAATCCTCTACATGTAGCGTATGAATACTGTTCTTAGGACTACTTTCTGAATACAGCAATGTACCTACTAAAAGAAAATTCAAATTGCAGAGAGGCTTTGTGTGGAGCACTGTTGAATAATCATTATCATCCTGTTCTTTCTAGTTTGCAGATAAAAGAGTACTATTTTTTTCCCATGAAAGCATTACTAATACTTAAAATACACAATAAAGTAAAGCTAATAGCACATTTGGATTGACAAGTCTAGCCTGCCATGGTAGTCAGTTTTAAATTACAAGAAAAATATAATGCTTTGCTCTTGAGTTTGTCCAGTCATAAACAGCAGTGAGGACAGATATTTACAGTAGAATCACCTTCCTGTCACTCTAATATGTCTTATTTTATGACTTTTACCTAGTCAGGTAGTAAATAACACACAGTAAACTACACAAGGTCAGTGAGGACAAAATGCAGATTTCAGGATGAGTAGGGGCTCCACTATTTACTACCACTGTTTATGAGCAGTTTCAATAGATGCTAAAGTGCAGCTTAAGCCTGCATGAAGCTTCATTTATTTCAGAAAGGCTTTCCATAGATAAAGGGGCATGGTTATATAGACCATAGAATCAGGTTTCTGTGTACTGTCACTGCTCAATCAAAAAATAATAAATCCAGCTCCACTGGAAGCAGGTCTCCTCTAAGACTGTGTGCTAATGACACTGCTCTGTTGCACTGATCAATGAGGCTATAGAATGCTTAATTTAATTCAGAGTTTTAAGCAGCAACTCCAAGTTAAAAAAGATTTGAGAAAAAAGAAACTCAAGAAGTCTTTACAAAAAAAATACTAAAAATATTAAACTTACTGTTGTTAGGATGCTCCATAAATACTAGAGTTGTCCAGACAGAAAGACTGAAATTACTAACAACATCTTTTCTTTTCCGTTTGTCTGCCTCTGATCAGATGAATTTCCACCAAATGCCTCAAATAGATGAATAGTTGGCACTTTAATACAAGGATTAGGTTCAAGCTCCATTTTACTATACCCAAAAAGACAGTGTCCAGTCTACAGAATAACAGTAAAAAAACCTCAAGAAATTGTTTCCTAACATTTTCTGTTGTTGCTGCTTAATACAGTTACTTCAGATATTTTAAATTAGTGTATCAAGAGTCAAAAGTAAAAAAGCTGAAGCTCTAATAACACCAACAGTGTTCTTTGCCACTATGCAAGCCCCAGGCAGCAAAAAGCTATGTAAATACTGCAAACTGAAAACTCCTACCAAGCTCCTTAAACGTTGCTCATGAGTACTAAAATTGTGAGTCTAGAAAACTCCCAGAATAACAAAATTCAATTCACCCTAAGAACTGATGAGAAGTGTTTCCAAATCAGATAAGAACAATGACCTTTTCCCTATAAATGTATAAGCAACAGCACGCGTTTCCTTCTTCCAATTATCTTCAAATCTATTGAAATCACAGCATCAAGTCTCTCTTTTGTCCAGCTACAGAAAGAAAATATACAGGGATGTTTTTTCATTTTATACGAAAAAAAACCACAAAACCCAGACTGGGCAGAGACAGGATTGAGAGAAGCCCTGAGGAGAAGGACCTGGTGGTGCTGACTCAATGTGACCCAGCAATCTGCACTTGCAGCACAGAAAGCTAACCATATGCTGGGTTGCATCCAAAGGAGCATGACCAGCAGGTTAAAGGGAGGTGCTTCTCCCCCTCTACTCCACTCTTGTGAGACCCTGACTGCAGTACCGCGTTCAGCTCTGGGGCCCCCCGAGAGACGTGGACCTGCACAAGTGAGTCCAGAAGACTTCCTATGTGTCAGGACACCCTCTATCTATCTAGACTGGTGGCAGGGCAAAATGCAGGGCAATAGACCAGGCATCATAAACAACAACATTCATCCAGTGTACCAACCACATTCACAGCTGGGAACACTAAAAGAACTGAGATATGCAGGTGAAGAGGCAAGCAAATGCATTCGACCACTACAGGATGACACAAATGTTTTGAGAAGTTGTAAGGGTAGCAAACAGTCCATTCACTGAAGAAAAAAATTAATGACTTCAAATGACATTTTAAAACATATATTTACTTAAGCTGAAGGCACCAGGTAGGTCATTCTCTCTGTATCAAATTGAAAGAGCTATTAAGCAGAGTAGGGAAATACATTTAAAATCATAATCACTAACAAACATACTAAATGTTTTCTTTCAGCTAATAACCAATAAATTGCATACAGTGGAAATGCAGTTCATACCAATCTGAGCAATCAGGCTTAGAGAGAAAATGCTTGCCCAGTTTCTTCATTCTAAAGTGCAACCTTTTAAAGTATGAAATTGACTATGAACAAGGTAGACTATACCCCTTCGGCAGAGAATTTTATTTTCTTCAATGTATTCAAGTTACCATAGAACAAAGTCTTCCTCTGTGCTTGTAAACAACCACTGGACTTTAGATTGCCATTGACATAGGCTAGATTTTGACTTTGAATTTTGTTTACTAAGGCATTCCAAATATCTAACACTGAAAAATCATGCTACGGTGAAGAGAGAAATATATACAGATTAAAAAGTCCATAAATATTTTAAACAATTGCCGTACCCACCTGCTACATTAAGCTTTTCAGCAGCTCCCAAGCTAGGAGCAGGAGTGGTAGTATTGTTGGTAGAATTTGCTCCTGTTCCATTAAGCACAAGGTTTTCCACCTTGGACTCTAGCTTCCCAATGCGCTGCAAGATATTATCTAACAAGACAGCAAGTGTCTTCTTCAAATCTACAAATGAAAATGAAAAGTTAACTTGCTTAATAATGCGATGCACACTGTCTGACAGAATCAAAAATAGATACAAGAATGAGACTGGAATATATAAAGACACTTCATCAGTGCAACCCTTTGTCATTAGCAGTTCTATACACTAACATTCCCTACTTTGTTCAGTCTCGGGTACAAATTTCCCTAAATGTATTTTATAAAGCACACTGCAACTCATATATATATCCTATATTCAAGGTGAAGTGTGAGCTTTCATGGATATGCACATGGGAACAGAAAAAGTGCATGCTTTGTAATAGCTCAAGAAGCTGCTTAAATAATAATGAGTCTGAATCTAAATCCATGTTCAAGCACTATTAGAGGAACAGTCTGTGCTCAGTCACTTGGAAACAAAAATCCCCTTTCCAAGAGGGACAGCTTTGCGTCAGTACAAAAACTTTCACCTTCACATGGAACGCAACAAACAGTAACAGAAGTTTGCCTATCAAATGGCATCCCAGAAAAAATTCTCTAATAATTTTTCTTTCCCTTTTCTTTTGTTTGGATTTCTTGCAGTGACCCAGACAGCTGGGCAAACTTAGAGAACTGTGGGCAACAGGGAAAAAATGGACCACTATCAGACTAAACTGTGTAATTATAGTGGCAACAAGCCAAAGAAGATGAAATATAATATTTTTATTTGCTTATTTACCATTGTCTCAAGATTAAAGAATTCAGTGCAATTAATTTACATTATTTTCCCATTTAATTAAATATAATAATTACAGGTGCATATGCTTAATATATTTTCTGCTTTCCACAATTCCAGAATCAAATAACTTTCTGATCTGTAATAGAAAATCTCTCCATACATCTGAAGATTCCTCTGCCCCTAACACCAGCTGCATTTTTGCCACACCTACTTTGTACTATCTCGTTTTATTCTTTATGACTAATCCAATTCTTGTGCAAATGAGATAGTAAATAAAAAAATGCTATTACTTTTCGAAAGCGTATGTTTCTTTTTTCCAGATAAAAGGAGAGCTGTGTTTACTCCATGGAGCTATAAACTGTTTTTTTTTTTTCTTTATAGCTGCGTGTTTTCCTCTGATCTTTAAAGATCAGAAGATGGACTCTTAAGCACTAATAATGATTCGGACTATTTTAAAAGGGTCCAGAGGTCTCTTAATGGTATTGTGTACAGAAGAAAAGGTATGAGAGACTGCTCACCAGAACAAACAAAAAAACCAGCTCCCCGAAAAAACAAACACCACAAAACCAAACAATTGAAGCCTCATTTGAGAAGGGGAGGGCAGAAGCACAGATTCATAATAATTTTTGTAAAACAACTGTTTACTGCTACAAAAATATAATACTCTGTGCATATTTGGACTACAACTTTCAAAAGTAAAGTGATAGATCCAACAGCCCGACAGGTGAATAAAGTAAAAGTGACATAGTGAACAAGCTGTGCAATCACAATTAAGGAATAACTGAAAATCTTCTGGGTGGGTAAAAGCCGCCAAATCAAGCAAACTTAAAACTTATTGTTGAGCATGGAAATCATGACTATGCTCACTAACATCAACCAGAGGGTAAAAATAAAAGCAATAACGAGGCTAAGTAGCAACGGTATTAATTTTCATAGACTAGTGAACCAACTTTACAAATTATCATTAATATTAGTCATTAATGTGTTTAGTCATGAATAGTTAACCTGATCGTTTGCTATCAACAACTCATTTGATGCCAAACAGGACAAATTTACTTGCTTATTAAGTAATTATCTTGCTCAGTTTCATAAAGCATTATTTAATATGACGTTAATCACTCACCATAGCATCTTTGCCTCTAACATTATAACTAAATACATTACCAATATTTTGCATCTTTCCATATTCCTCGTTTGAAAACACCTGTCCAAATTTATCCTTAAACTTAAAATTCCTCTTAGCCGTGGAAGTTGAAATTTCTACAAAAAACTTAGGTTTACCTTCACAGAAGAGTTACATAGTTATTTCACCTATTTTCAGATGTTCTCTAACTTCTCCTAGGAACTTGACCACTGTTGGCAATTCAACTTACTCCTCACTGGGATTTGAAACGGAAAGAATAACACAGGCAACAAGCTGCAGAGGGAGCTTAGTTTAACTATATCCTCTACCCTTAGACCTAGCTAGGACACGTATTAATATAGTTACCTTCAATTTCTGGAGACAACCTGTTTTTTTTGTTTTTTGTTTTGTTTATTTTCTTTAATTCCCCTACCACCAAGTACCCTTACAAGATATATGGCAGATAGGGTTTTGTTTTAAGGCTACACACACAATTCTCTAGGGACCCCTACTTGCTTGGAGGTCTTCAATCTAAAGACTGATCTAGTATTGACTGATTCTAGTATTAACTGATCTAATATTGACTGATACAGTAAAGGCTATTTAGTTTGTATTGCTCTGTAAGATTACAATACTAATTCAACAAATCAGAAGTAACAGAATAACGACAGCTTTGCTTAAGCAATAAAGCAATATAATTGTTAGCTATGCTTAAGATCATAACCTCAGGCTTTAAGGCAAGCAGCTTCACACACTCAAAAAATCTTCTTTTAGGGGAAAAGAGTAAGCATTAAGACTTCATGTCAAACAAGGCACTGAAACTCACAGAGAGTTCTCTACCCTGAGGTAAAAATAATATATTGATCTTAATTTAAGATTATGCCAGATAATTAAACTTAAAAGTTAAGTAAACTGACAAACTGACTGAACAAAGAAGTGAAAGGGGAAAGAAGAAGAAATAAACATAGATCCTTACCAGTAAGGCAAGTTCTTCTTCCACAAGGAATTTCTCAGATCACTGATACACAAACTGAAAAGCTTCCCATGTTTTGCAAAAACAGCAAAAATGGTTTATTTTAGAGCAAGTTCTAACAAATAACCTGAGGCATACTAGATACAGCTACTAGACAGATGTAATAAAAATTAGCAGACAACTTCATTTCCAAGTGACTGGAACTGTAAAATTTTTCCCATTTCATATTTACAAGTGAAGGCTCTTTTCTCCATCTGTGCAGAAAATCCACAGTGTAAAGTATGTCAATTGAGTAGCATTCTGAAGCAAAATGTTTGGACAATTTAGAAGAAACTTTAATAAGATCACCATGTAATCCAGAGCACACACTTACCGTATGCTGTCACTGTCCCAACATAAGGCCCATCAACCACATTTTTATTTTCTTCAGCTAATGCTTTGATATATCTTTTGCTAAGATCCAAAATTTGCTCACGCAGGACTGAACTGCTTTCATGTTGTGTTTGCTGCTGAATAGTAAAATGCAGAAGCATCATTCCCCAAATGAAACCAAAAGTCACCAGAAAAAAGCCAAGTTTCTGAGAGGACAGCTTCCATGGAGAGAATGCCATGATTCCCAACAGCTTCACACAGTTACTATGAAAGTTCCTAAAGCATGAAGCCAAACAGCAAGTCCATGGTCATGGTATCACAGAGCGGAACTCAGTCTTATTCCAACTCCTTAGTCAAAGTATATCCGTATTTCAGTTCCATCCTGTTGTAAAAGGAAAGAAAAGAAACACTGTTACCACAACATATTAGAAGGTTTTACCAGCTGTGGTAGGACTTCACCTTCACTAATACAGGAGTAGACAAAATGCTTTTTTTTTTAAATGTTTAATTTGTCTGTATCAACATTGTACTGTACTAGCCAGAGCACAAAGAAGCCGAGAAAAGCACCGGAAAGAATGAAGAGGGAGTGATGAGTCTGAGCAGGTGCAGAACACCTCTAAGTATACGGATAAAATTCAATGCTTGAAGTGGTTTCTAAGCTGAATTTCAAGGTAAGGCTGCTTTTACATATTTTTTTTTATGTGCATACACGAAACTTTGTGATATTGCCAGTGCGATAACTTAAGACAATTCTCAGCATAATTTAGCTCTCAGAAAAAAGTAATTTTAGCTGGCAGTGACACTGCTTGGAGTTCCTGGCAAGAGCTACAGCATATGGCTAGATAGGTGATCAGGAAACCAGACTCCCCCAGGGGTAAAGAAGAAAAAAAGAAACCTACATTATTTAAGCCAATACACTCTTCTGGCTTACACTGCAAGCAGTCAGAAGGCTGAAATAATCTCCTCTTGCTCCTGTGGGGCCTCTGCCATGCACAGTACTCCTTATTCATAAAACATAGTCCAAAGAGTTTGCCCTTTACAATCAAATTCAAAACACATACACCTAAATGCTACAAGTCTTTTGTACACAAAAATAATGTTCTCAGAACTTTTGACACACTAGGGAAAAAAAAAAGGTATAATGGCTTTCAAGACACTGTAGGACCACCTTTTCATGGTAAACTCAAAAATAAAACCTGGCATGAAGAATCTAAAGGCAAGAAAAGCTCTGTGATGAGGGCTGCAGGCAGGGTCCTTAGCATAAAGCCCAACAAGAAGAAAGGTAATTAAAAGGTAATTAAGTGTAACCTATCATGTTAAACACATGATTTGGTAAAATGTTATCCTTTTAGCTTCATAATGCTTCCAGACAGGATTAGAGAACATAATGCTCCCTTCCATTCTGCTCTGGTACAGATAATGCAGATGTTACTCTTTTTTTTTAATAGGATAATTATACAGACGCCTGCTAGCAGTGCTCTCTGTTTGTTAAAATTGCCTTTGGATTTTCTGCTTTCGCTTGAACCAGCAGTTCTGCAGAGTGACAGAAATACCTTTGGAGCACTTATCTTCCAAAATGTCTTGTGTGTGAGTTTAGCATTATTGACTATTATCGACTGCAGAAGCAAATGTGCACTACACAGTACACTAACATCAGACAAGGCAGTAACTGTACCATGCATGCACATTGCTAACAGCACAATTTGTAGCCATTGTCTGCTTAAGGAGGAATGGTGCAGAAAAATGAATTGCAAGTACAGTGAAAAAGATTACAAAGCCCTCAAGCTGACCTTTTCCACACTTAAAATGCCTCAATAAAGAAAATGATTAGTATCAATAGAGAAAATGAAGTACTCTGTTTAATGTTGCTCTCCATAAAAGTTAATTTTCTAAGAAATGGCAGAGGGAAGTTTTACTTCTCTGAATTTATGTAACTGTAGCCTTGGGACACTCCTGGACTGACTAAAAAGTAGAGTATTGTTATTTCATTAAAACCTGAATGTTTTACTATTCTTTGCAATATCTGGTCTGATAAAATACAGGAAAAAAATCATAGTTTAAAACTATGTCACAAAAAGAAATTGGAAATTTTCTGTATAGAATCCTTCAATGGCTTAATTTCAAGTAAGAATTGACAGTGTCCTCTACAGCAATAGGATTTGCAGCAATAAGTCAGTATTTCTTCCCCAATTATCAGTTGTTTGTGAAGTGGGAAACACTGAATAAAAAAGTCAACCTATCACCACCGTGTTTGAACAGGCAAGTATAAATAATTTTTTTTGACTAGTTGTCTAGGAAGAAAACTGACAGAACAGAATAAACATTACAAACAGTAATAGAAAAATGCAAGTATTTCACAATTTTCTTTTTCAATTTCTAGAACAGAAACAAAGAAGATTACAAAACCAGTGTATGTTTAACATATGAAAACGATCTACTTAAATACAACTGTTGACTTTGCCATTCTGTTTATCAACAGAAGAAAAAAAAAAGCCTTCAATCCCCTCAAAAACTGTAGCAAGGTAGACAGCAAATATTAAAGTTTTGCCATTAGAAAGGATTAAAATTCATTGACAGGTGGAAGAATGGCCCCCATTATTTCAAGTACTAAAAGCAATAAAACCACAAACCAGCCCCATTTTTACTGCCACCTAAGCAATTCCAGTGGCTAGCAACTTGACGAATGCCCAACAATACATACTTAACTGATTATCTTTACAGCACTGCTGGTGTCCATGGAGGATTGTAAAGTGTGCAAGAGAAGAATCTTTGTGCTTTCCACCACCTCTGTGGCTTGGACCCACACCCATACTGACTTCGGTATATGTTTAATCCTAAATTTGCAGATGTCACGGACTGCAATACAACTATTGCCAGTTAATGATTACCACATATCTATAATGACTCATTATGTGGTATCTAAGTGGACAATGGTCAGAAGATATCAAGAAGTTATGTGGAATGAATTATGACAGCAACACAGAAATACCTCTGTATTTCTGTTTTAACAGGGAATTAATAACTGCAATGAGCAACAGTTGAAAAACTAAACATACTTCTTTTCTACTGCAATCAATCATGGACTTTCATCACGCTTACTAACTACTTATCATAGAATCATAGAATAATTAGGGTTGGAAAGGACCTTAAGATCATCTAGTTCCAACCCCCCTGCCATGGGCAGAGACACCTTACGCTAGTTATATTGATAGTATATGTCAGTTATGACTACCAAGTAAGCCATTCCTAAATGTAAAGTAGTAGAACATTATCCTTATTCTCCCCCTTCCCTTAAAAATGTTTGCAAAGGAGCTGATCCTGTTAACTATTAAGGCCTTTTCCTGGCCTAGTCTTCAAAATACACAATAGGAGTCATATCTGAAGAGGATATGGAAACATGTATTTGCACATGCCTCTAAGGAATGACAGGCTTTTTTGTTCCATTGGAGCTTGGGGTTTTTTCTAACCTCTGGAAAGAGGCTGTCTCACTCTAAGACAACTCCTGAAACAATTCCAGCATTCTGTGAACTCGGTATGCCATACTTGTGAGGTTGTTCATAAAACCGTTAAGAAGATAATTCCTCTTGATTTACTGAGAGTAGCTAATGTACCAAAACTAAATGCCAAGTGTGAAAAACAGGGTGAAAGTGAAAAGATATACAGGGCAAGAAAAACTTTAATACAGAACAGCTTTGTTATATTCTTCCTTAAATTTAACTCTGACAAAAATCTCCCCCCAGTTAAACCAATACACTGGTGTTTTGTTGTGATTTGTTACGCTTCAAACAGACAAGTTACACCCTTTGTGAAAAATGGCACGATTTAAAACAGAACTACCTCTACCCTTGACAAAAATGATTAGCACATTTTTTTGGAAAAGGCTAACTTTGTACCCATTTAAACAAGTGTAAGAATTCTGAATTCCTAAAAGAACTAAGACTATTAAACAGCTTCATTAAAACCACATTTTCCCCTGTTCTGTATTTAATAAAATCCTGTTCAACAGCTGGTCAATTCATTGGTTACAGAGGATAACATTACCAGGTCTGTGCCATCAAACAAAAAACCCCACATGCTATTTAGAATCATATCAGGAAAGGACTCCAATGCTGAAGTGATCTGTACTTCAGTGAGGCAAATCACAGTTCTCGGCATTTTAAGACTTTATAATCTTTCCCTTTTTATTTATTTTTTTTTTTAACTGCTTAAAAGAGAGTACAATCTTCATGTGAACAGATTTTGGTGACACATAATCCATGTATTTGTCTTCACAATTAAAAAGGAGAATTAATCATCTTCAAGATATTAAACAATGTTTATTTGTACATAGGACATATAAAAAGCCTGATGCTCTCTGTCTAATCTGTACCTACGTAAGAAGTAGTACTTACTCAGGGTAACCTTGGAACAGCACTATCCTCAGGATAGTCAGGATTCAACTGTTCATCAGTTTAATGCAGTGCTGTTCATCACTACCCTTCACAGTTATTACAACCTTAACTTTCTGTAGCCAAAGCAGAAGCTGTTCCACCCATAAAAGTAACTGAAGATTAAGTAGTATTTAATTATTTACTTGTTATGAACTCAAACATTAGTAAACTTACAGAGCATGACTAGTAAACAATGTATATGCAGTTTTGTACCAAGCAGCTCAGCAAAAATAGTATTGCCACTGCTATGAACAGGCCTCAAGCCCTATGCTGTGTTCCTATTGCAAATGTACAAGGCCCAAATTCTGGCCTCTTATGCTTGTGAAATTATTAGGAGAACTTGTTGTGTGAATTAGAACTAGAGCTGGGTACCAGGTGCCTCTTGTTACGGCATACAGCTTAGATATGAGATAACAACACAGGCCTTGAAAATACGGGCACAGGTTGAAACTAGAGGCCCCAGAACCATAAGCAACCCAGTGAGGGTCAATTCTTGGTCACTGCTGAAGTGCAACCTTGAGATTTGGAAAAACCCTGCTTTTCTTTCAATAGCAGCAAATGCTGAAAAGGAGGAATAAAACTGCTAAGCAAGAAGAAAAGCCACCTGTGACAGCCTGGAACATCAAGGACCATAGCTATCTGCGCTAAATACATGGCACCAGCTCTATGGTACCGTGTGCTCACAATTAATTGATAGTGACATTGTTACAGACTAATTATTTTGAATATGCAGTGGTAATGATTAGGAAGATCTAGCCATTAGCAATGTATACTGCTAATGAGTACCAATTTAGTGAGGTTTTGTTATAAAATTTAAAGCTGGGTTAAACAACTGTTGTAGCAGCCTTCCGGACCTTCAGTCACAGGAATCTCTCATTCTCTTCTTACATATATATCCATACACAAATGACACAAATTCAGTTGCAGCACTGTACCACCATGCTTGATGCTG